GCGCCCACCGGCGGAAGCTCGCGGAAGGCGGCAAACGGTGTGTCTGCCCTCCATGTATGGCCGCCCCGAGCTTCGGGCCAGCTGCCCCAGGGGCAACTCAGAGCAGTCACAGAGCTCCCCGAAGGCCAGGCCTTTCCCACTGTGGCGTAACCCTCCGATGCCGCGTTAGAGCAGCAGTTAGCGTGGGGGAGGATCTGTCCGGAGCCCTTTCTCTTGCAACACTTGCGCTCGTTAGCGATTGCTCCGGGTGAGTTGACTTGCTTTCGTGCGGACATGGTCCGGTGTTGGTTCTTTAAGTGTGTGTGTGTGTGTGTGTGTGTGTGTGTGTGTGTGTGTGTGTGTGTGTGTGTGTGTGTGTGTAATAAAAATCTTTATTGAAAACACCCCACCCCCAGCATGGTCACAACTAGAATTTCTCCTTCTCAAATATTTACCTATCTATGCATGGTATTTAACTAGTTACCGGCTGACTCCTTTTTTTTTTTTAAAAAAAAAAGGCCAGTTCAGATTTTAAAATATCCTGCATGCTCAGGTCTGTGGGGACGAGCGAGGAAATTCGTGGGAAACGCAATAATAGAAACAGCCGCTGGTATCAGATCCTCCCCGCAACATCCTACTTGTCACCTGAAAGGTGACTCGCAGAGGGAACTAGTTGGACTCGCGCTCTGCTTGGCTTCTCCATGGCGTGTGAAGAGGACTTCAAAGAGATTTCTCCACAGCTGTCTTTTCCTCTGGCTTGTTTTTCCGTTGGAAATCCAGGTGTGGCGTAGCCGGGCGGAGGCTCTGTGGTGACTGCGGAGAAGGTGAGAAGTGAAGCCCTCCAGAGAGCTAGGAGTGAAAGCTGAGCGGGGGAGCGGATTTACAGCCAGAGCCGTTGTGTGTTTTATGACACCTATTTCCCTTTGCTGAGGGCTGGCGGGGGTGGCGAAAGGACGGCTGTGGGTCAGAGCAGGGCCGCACCCAGGAGGGGGAGGGGACAAAGGGGGCTGTGACCCTCCTTTCCAGGCATGAGGATTCTGTCGGGGGTGAGGGGCCGTTTTCGGACATATGCTCAGCCCTGCCCGTTCTGTAGCAGGGCCCGGCTGGTGGACAGCATAGGGCCGTTGTGCTAGCTCTGGGATGACCAGGGGTTCGTTATGGGCAATGGCAGGTGCCAGCTGCCTCCTCGCCCCCCGGCCCCTCATTATGGTGTATGTGTACAGGGCCTATGGGGTGGGCTATGACTGCTCTGAAATGAAGGTCTAAGAACTAACCACGTGCGCCCTCCAGCGGCACCAGGGAAGATCCGGTTTGACATTCCTGAGATCTCTGAGGTAAATTCCTAAGGCCAGGCATTCCGCTTTTATTTGCGCATCACAAGGAAGGCTACAGCGTTGTCACGGACTCCGACTTCCCCCGACCTCTGACGTTTTCTGGGCTGCAGCTCTGGGCCAGCATCCCCTCCCCCCGCAGCGCCTCACCCCTGCACTGAGAGCCCCCCCAACAGCTGCCCCACTGAGCTGGGTAGGTGGGGAGACCCCCATGAATGTCCAGCTGCCCAGGCTGCGAGGGAACCCTCCAGCAGCCCAACCCCAGAGCTCCCATTGACCGCAGTGGAGGGGGACCCAAGAGCTGAACTCGCCTCCACATTTTGTCCCGGATAGTTTTAGTGAAAATTAGGGACAGGCCACAGGCTTCTGTGAATTTCTCTTTATGGCCCATGACCTGCCCCTAACTGTCACTGAACTCAATGCTGAAAGCTTGGCCTTACTGCGAAAACGCAGGAGGGCAGCTCTTTTGTAGGGCACTTGTAAGAAAGGCGCGGGACTGGGGGGGATGGCAAGGTCCCCGTTTGTCCCAGACAGAGACGCCCGTCCTCTCGCCAGAGGGCTGCATGCTGGCGCTGTGGCGTGTCACATGTAGGAGAGGATGCTGAATTCCAGACCCCTTAGCTGGAGTCCTGAGGGACAGAGTTTGTACGGCAGCTGTGTCCGCGTGAGCATGGGCACAGAAGAGCAGAGGGGGGAGAAAACTGTGGGCTCTGGAGGAATGAGTAGAGGGCGGGGGGTGCTGAGATGCGGGGTGGCTTAGGACAAGTCATGTCACTGGTCTAGCTCAGTTTCCTTGTGTGTAACGTGGGGATCCTTGAGAATTCGTCGGGTCACCGGTCTAGCTCAGTTTCCTCGTCTGTAACGTGGGGATCCTTGAGAATTCGTCGGGTGCCAGCTGCAGAATGCCATGCAAATACTGTCTGTTGGCAGTCTGCCTATGGGCACAGGATAATTCTGTTCAGGTAATTGCCTAGTGTGAGAGCAAGATCAGGGAAGGAAGAGGATGGCCAGGAGTCCTCTTAGAATGGGCCCTCGTGGAAGTCCTGCCGGCATGTGTGGGAAGCACCGTGCCGCGTCACAGTGCCACGCTGCCCCCGAGACCGGGAGGTGCCTGGAAGACACAATTGGGCCATAAATATTTAAAATGCTTTATACACAAGTCATTTCTCTTTTTGTCAGCAGTAATTTATTACGCACATTAGCCATGGTGTGCTGTTCTGATGTCTGGGTATTTCTTTAAAATTCCACCTGTGCCATTCAGCTGTACCTGGGAGCATTTGAAAGAAGGTCACGCTAGTCTTTTGTTTCCTTGCCTGCACGCTAGGACGTCTCCTGAGTTTATTTAAGGGGGAGGGGGAGGAGGGAGGGACCCGGAGAATTAGTGGCGTGTTCGTTTTTTTTTTTTTAGGGAAGAGGGAGGGACCTGGAGAATTAGTGGCGTGTTCGTTTTTTTTTTTTTAAAGCAGTTGAAATTCAGACCCATCTGGGTATTTATACAGCAAGATCTTCTGGATGGAGAATCTGCCAAGATAGTCATGTGACTGAGGCCAACATGAAACAAAAGAATCCATTTATTATCCAGGCAGGAAATTTGTTCTTCTAGATGTTGCAGAGGCAGACATAACTATTTCATTTCCTTCGGTTCACCCAGATTGATAGCTTGTGCTCTTTTGTTTGCATGCATGTTTTATTCCTAAGCACTTTCTATTGTGTCTGGGTACGGTTTTGTGTGCACTGTGCTTGTAGAGCTAAGCATTTCTGTGTGTGTGTGTGTGACTGGCCTTGATTTTACAGAGCTCTGAGCCTGTACAACCAGCAAGAACCCATCTAGTTCCTTCACAAACACTCTTTGTGTTCCCCGACAACCCATGGCCTCTCTTGCGTGTTTGCCCTTGATTTTACAGAGCTCTCAGCCTGTATAACCAGCAAGAACCCATCTACTTCCTTCACAAATACTATTTGTGTTCCCCGTCAACCCATGGCCTCTCTTGCGTGTTTGCAAGTCCCGATCCCCTCCCTCCAGGGTACCCCACTCCTTTGACACCTCTTTCAGGTCTGGTGCCTCTGCTTTGCCCCCTGAATGGTCTCACTGGAAGATGACAAAACCAGCAACGTGACTTTTGAATTGCTTAACCTGACCCAGCACTAGAGGAGACAGGGCTGAAGGGACCGACCCAGGGCTGGTCTGAGGAAAGAGGCAGAGGAGAGATTGCCAGTTGTGGCAGTATTGTAAGGGTTGTATCCTCGGGGCTCGGTGCTACAGCAGAGTGGTGTGTGCCCATTGAGAGAGTGAATAAATCAGGTACAGTAGGTTTTCAGTCTGTCTAGAGAGGGCTGAGGGCATTGCTGATTCTCTTGTGGAATGGCGCAAGGGACAGTGTGGTGACTCTCTGCTTTGGATTTCTGGGCTGTCACAGAAATGGGGTGCGTAGCTACACCTGGAAGGATGAGACCTTTATCAACAAACACCGATTTCACTGTGCACCCACACCATTCGACGCCTGTTTCCTTTGCCAGTGATGAAAACATGCTGCTAGGTGACGGAAGAAGAGGTGCCCAAGTATTTACTGGCTGTTGAGTGCAGGGTATTTATGGCTGTGTACATTTTGAAATGTGGTGATGACAATTTGTTTTCATAGTTATATAGCTTTAACTTTTGGAATCTCAGTGTAGTAATTGTCTGAGCTCTCCAAAATCTTTGCCCAACTGAGAATTTAAATGAATACATTGGAAAACAAAAAGCTTTTAAAAATATCGCTCTTATCCACCGGAATCGTTGGAAAACCAGAATTTAGCTACACTGTGCTGCTAGCTCTCATGGTGCAACGGGGTTAACCGGGAGGCTGTCCCCTTGGCTCAGGCTAGCTGCCGGGCTTGTAGGATGCAGAGCAGTGAGCAGGTCTGACTGCCACAGGTTTCCAAGAGGAATTCTTCAGCAGCAGACGGGTAAGTAGCTGGACTCCCCGAGTGGGAGAATCAGGCAGCGAGTCTGGGAAAGGCTGACTGGAGAGATGAGGTAGGAAGCAGTACGTGACTGGGAGGAACAAGCCCTAGCTGCTCTGTGCAGGGGGTAGGTCTGGGCTGCTTTACCATTCCCAGGAGAGGGGACAGTGCAGATTTCCGAGCAAAGAGGTCAGGACGCCAACGAGGTCTGGGCCTGGTGACTCTTTGCTAGGGTCACTGGACTCTGCCTACCAAGCTTTGATTGCCCTGGAGAGGCTGTTGGTGACCTGCCCAGAAACCATCAGCCATGGAGCTAACGGGGGATTTTGGTGCGTGGATGGGGACTCGCTGTAACCCCCAGAAGGGCTGTGAGAGGGGGCCGGGTGGTGAAGGCAGCCCTGGCCGGGCGGGCCATGGGATGGTTACGTTTCTAGCCTATACCTGCACAGACACCCCATGAGTGTTGGGAACTAGTTCTTACTGGGTGGGGCTCTGAGGAGAGGCAGGCCGGTGTGTGGTGTCAGGCCAATTCGGACATGGGCTCAGCCAATCGCCGCAATGGGACCCACCTTCCACATTCAACAGAGTGATCCCCAACCTTTTGGGGCTGCCGGACGCCCGGGGGCGGCACCACGCATGCACTGTACGCCCGGGGCGGGGGCCGTGCATGCGCCCGGGGCACAAGAATGGCTCGGGCCGGCCCTGGTCTCTAGGCAGGTGCACATAAACGCCCCGGTGGGCACCATGGCGCCCACGGGCACCGCATTGGGGACCACTGCAAATAGACTGATAGTAGCGAGGTCTGTCATGGAGTTCACTGTTCTCTTCCCCCATTTTGGCTACAGGGACTGTGGGCTAGGGATGGTGTCTTGTTGTCAGGCCCAAGGGACGTGACTGACGTCATAATGTCCATGTAGTTCTCGTGGTTACGTGTGGTGGGTGTGGGTGGCCTGCACCCCATGCTAGGAATGTAGGCGGGGTGAGATGCACAATGGGAGCTGGAGGCTTGTCAAGGCTGCCGGCTGCCCATGTAGATGTTTTGTGGAACCTTAACTCCAAATTTCCTCGCTTTCAGAAACTTGAACTCTTCATTTCACCCTGTTGCATCCTGACTGAGAAAAGTCTCTTCCGTTACCCCAGTTCTCAGCCTTCGCTCTCTCCCAACCAAGAGTTTGACTGAGAACGTCCTTTCAGTCTCAACTCCGTGTTCTTAAGATTGCACTAACACTTCTGGCGCCTTCTCTCTGCACGTAGGACTTCACGGAGCCGGAGACTTGCTCAAGGGACAGCTGGGTGCATACGGAACGTAGCCCGACTTATTCAAATCCAAGGAGTCTTACTTCTTTCATGTCTCTCGGAAAATGTGCATGTCACGATATCCATTTCTGTGCGGTGGCTAGTGGCTGGTGGACGTGGTTTTATTCCTGAAGTGGGGATGGCTATCTGGCAATGTCTGGGCCTGGAATATGTAAGGTGACCTCCTGGCTGTTTGAATCCATGGAAAAACTCTCAATGACTTCCAAGATTTGGTCCATAGTCACAAGTGTACT